CTGAGGTCTTGAGTTATGGTTTCATCGTTTCAAACAAGTCTTCTTAATCTGCATAACTGGTGAATTGCAGATTAATAATGAAAAAGATCACCTTACATCAGCAACATTTTCTAAGTTCAAAAAGCCAACTCCAGATTCCTAACCTCACCCACATGTGAGGTCTTTCCTCTCTAACCAAAGACTGCCAGTGTGATGGGGATTGATAGTTCTGGTTTCACCTAAAGTAATTTCACAGGATTTTTTTTTTCCTCAAGCTGAGAAGCAAGATAGAATTTAGTATATGATTAGTATATGACTCTCTGTTTGGCGTTATATAATTGGTAGTCACAAACCAGCATTTAAACTCTAAATCAATTGTTTTTATTTTAAGGAAAAATAATGAAAGCAAAGGACAAAAATAACTTTCATCCCCACCTCTACAACTGTGCTGTTAGAATAAGTTTGCTCAAAAGAAAAAAAAAAAAGAAAAAAAAGCTAAACAATATCTTTGAAGGAAGAAACTATACGGCCATCCTCAGCAATGCCACATATATGAATTTCTTTTTGTAGAGCTTCTGGCCCAGACATCCAGTACCCACAGAAATCTGTGGCAGGTCACAACTTCCTCTGTCCTGTGGCAAAATAGTGTTTTTCACTAAGGAATGGTTCTACCACCAGCAGTGAAGTCTCTAGAATCACAGGACTCTGACCTTAACAGTGGTGGTTATTCAGATCATCTCCCATTTGGCGGGCTGGTTCTGTCTGAATTTTTATGCTTTGTAAAATAGTTCGAGACAATACTACCAAAGGCTCTGCTGATTTTTTAAGCAAATGTTATGACTTGATTGCCTTTAGCTCTTGATCCTATAATGCAATTAGATGTATCCTGGGATTAAGTGAGGTTTTTTGTCATTTCTCTAAATCGTTGTAATGTAGAAGTATTAATCATCTAATCTACCCATTTTGACAGAATCAGTATTCGATTTACCCAGTGTAAGTAGGCAAAGCCCAAATATGTCCTGAAAAGATGTTAGTCACTAAAAGCTATAGGTCAAACATGTAATACCTCTTCAAAAAACACTTTCACCCTCAGCGAAAGCCTGTCAGCCATTTAATACACAACTCTGCTGTTTCAGCTTCTCTGCCTTGTGCTAATTTCCTCTCTGAGTTTAACTCAGCAGGAGGTATTTATGCACGCTGCAGATGTTCCTCTAACACACTACCCTTTTTGGCAGGCATATCTGTGATGACTAATATTCAAACTGTTTTGAAACTTGTCAGCTAAAGCTTGCAGGCGTTTATGGAGCTTTGCTAGCAGGTTCCACCTGTATAATTTTGCAACCTCACAGTTTTAGTCTTGAGTTAGATTTACGAGATAACACAACTCAAAACCTGGAAGCTTCCTGTTTTTTCTTGTTTGTTTTTGGTAATCATTGAATTGCTTTGGCTTCCTTTTATCATAATTACTCTACTTGAGCAGAATAAACGTTTTTGGATTGTCTTATGACATCCAATTTCACTTTCTTATCCAATAAAGCAACTGGACAAGAGGATTAAAGGCCTATGGGATGTTTTGATTGTCTTATATGTTGTTTTTAAAAGTTCTAAATTTGATGTCAACATGTTCAAATCAGTATATTTCACATAAAAAATCATACACATGGCTTCTTAAGTAAACACTTGTAAGATCTGGCACACTGGGCCCTGCTGCTGCTCACCTGGCCACCATCTGTTAAGGCCGAGGGGTGCCTGCTCCACTTGCAACTGGCTTGCCACAGGACCATCCACCCCCATCACTCAGTCACGGTGCCTACATGGCCCTGCAGTTGCTTGAACGTGTGGCCCCAGGCTTATTCTTGGAATGGAATACATTTGCTATTCCACTGTGCAGTCCTGATACTGCTTAACATTGGAGTGCAAAGCTGAGAAGAAAATGGGGCTCAGGAAACCTCCCCAGTTCTTTCACTCAGAAAAGTAATTTGATTCCTCCTATTTTGTGTTTTCTTCTCGGAATATCATTTTTTTTTTTATTCTGCTGTACCAATAAAAGTAAGAAAATGAAAAAGAAAACACCTAACAATGAGCATCTACTATGGACCAGGAAACATGCTAAAGGAATTGAATTTAGTCTAATTTAATATTCAGAAAACGCTTCTACGGATGAGAGATGGAAGGCTCAGAGAGAGTTGGCGATGTATCCAAGATGGCAGTCAGTAGGAGTTAAAATTGCCTATGGGGTTTAATGGGCTTACGATGGCGTTTCAGCTAGAGTGATCAACTCTTCCTAGCTTGTCAAGGACGTTCCTGCTTTTAGCATTGAAAGTCCTGTGTCCCAGAAAACCCCTCAGTCACAGGCAAATCAGGATAGTTGGTCACCCTAACAGCCAAGATTTCCAAAATTCCCAAATCCTGTACTGTCAATAATTGGTTTTTGTTTTGTTTTGTTTGAAATTTCTGAGGGAGATATTCACACAAGGAAGAATATCAACTAAAAAATAGGAGACTTTTATTACCTGGAGACCATAACCCTTAGTGCCAGCTTCTCTGATGAAATTGTACCTAAAACTTAGGCACATGGCCCAAAGAGGAATTCTTAATTATCCCTAAATGCCAGTCTTAACACCTGCTCGCCACTGAATTGAAGGTTCTTGTTACAAGTTGCAGCATGCGGGTGTGAGGTGGCAAAGAGAAAGAACAGGAAGCCCCAGCCTGCTGCAGTCGGTAAGCTCTGCCTGGGCTTGCCTGTCCAGCCCCACAGAAGGAGGGAACTGAGGGGAGGGGAGGGGCCTCCCAGCCAGGTCAACCATCTGTAGCACAGTAGTCCCACCCACCAGGGAATGTGGCCCAATCAGCTTCACAGAATCCAACCAATCAGTTGAGAGCTCCTTGTCTTTGTTCTTCTAAGAGGACAGCAGAGATTGTGGGGTCAGAGGACTGAGAAGGTAAACCGTCCTAGTATGGAGAGAGACACTGAGAATTCCCCATCCCGTGGAGTCAATGTGTATCTGGCACTGTGCCTGTTATCTAGCTGTGTAACTCCTGTGCCATCCAAGGGGTGATGGCCTCACACCTAAAGCCTCAGGAATGAGAAGAGTGCCAGCTAGATACCCCTTGAACCCTAACAGCCCCTTCCCACCCCGTTCCTTGCAAGCTCTTCCCTATTGCCCCAGCCTTCTGTCCATAGCATGTCACCCTTTTTCTTTGGAGACGGTACCTTTTTAATAGAAATAATAAGCTCAGTTCATTGGTTCCGTCTTCTGGATTGCACATCTTACAGCACCAGTCATGAGAGAAATTTCAATCATTGGCCTCCCATTTCGTTCAGTCTCTGCTGGCTCTGTGTAAGAAAGAGGTCAGTGCAGGCTGGACACAGTGGTTGTAACCTACCCCAGTCAGGATGGTGGCTTCAGGGATGAAAAAAAGCATGAGCTCTGCAGCCGAGGACAGGGAGGAAAAGATGAAGAGATGACACTCCAATCTGCAACTTATCTGAACCCCGAATTCCTGAAATCAAAGACCCAAGAAAATTCATTTCTTTGATTTCCCATTAAGTGTATGTGTGGTAAATTCACATTTTTCTTAGGATATGACTCTGTGCCTTACAAACTAATAACTCTGACCTCAGTAACTAAGAGGGACTTTGCCCTATCATTTCTCTGTGTTAAATTATCAAATTTTGTGTGAACTAACATGGAAAGGCACCATGCCTCTCACCTCTACCTTTTTCTCTAAAGAGAAAAGAGACACAGGAGGAGAGAAGACAGCAATCCAGACAAGGGGAAGTTGCACAAGCTCGGAAATATTTTTCTGAAATGAAGTGTGCAAATTCCAAGCAGATTTTTGACAAATTTACCTCCTAAATCCATTCAAAATCCAGCCTTTTAGGCAGATTTTGTTGGAGGATGTCTCAATACGGGTTCCCTCAAAGGCAGACCCTCGGACAAGAATTTGGGTGCAAATAATCAATTTAGGAGATGATTCCAAGAATCACAAGTAAGGAAGCATGTGATTCACAAAGACTAGGAAATACTATTTTTCAAAAATAAAATTTTAATTTTCATTGTAGCCTAATTCATTTCTCATTTCATCCATATCTTGATAGAAATTTTAATGACTTAATTTACAGGTATCCTCAGAACAGTACTTAAGTAGCACCTAGGATAAATTTTATTTACACTTAAGTCAACTAGATTTCATAAT